TAATGTCAGAGCTCAGTCTGTTCAGTGCCTTCCAAGTTGCCCAGTCTTCCATGTGCCCAGGAGGGAGTCTCTCATTCAGTATCAGCCATGGATTGAGATTCTGAGTTTTAGCCTACCACTTTTGGACTCTCACTTGCTGAGTTGTTCTTGCAAGTATCTCTGTAAAATCTTAGAAAGCTATTTCTTGATTTAAGGCGTTGGCATGCTGGGTGATGTCCGAACAAAGGATGGGCCAGAGATGTCACTGCCTTGGTCCTTTCATTACTGCCTGCTACTTCCTGATGGATATCAGATGGTGCAATACTGGCTAAACAGTATAATTTCTCCAGTGGTGTAGGGCATAGACATCTTGTGATAATGCAGCATGTCTCATTTAGAGACACATTCACTGTTTTAATGTGGTGAGATGTGTTCCACACTGGGTGTGCGTATTCAACAGCAGTGTAGCAAAGCACAAGGGCAGATGTCTTCACTGTGTTTGGTTGAATCTAATAATCAACCTTTTGGCTAAATTACCTTGCAAAATTAGGGTGCACATTAGATTTGCATCATATGTTCATCTTAGTAATGAGCTAAAGCAGAAGGGGAAACCGCTTCAGGAGCTCATCTTTGAGGGACCCCATATCTAATTTAATAGTCAGTGCTCAATGCTATGCTATCTGGGATTTGTAGTTTGGTGAGCATCAGCATTTGGCAAATAAGGCGCAAGATCTTGTAAAACTACAATCCCCATGATTCCATAGCATTGAACCAAGGCAGTTAAAGTATATTAATTGTGCAACATAGATACAGCTCATGTTTGCTCTTCCATTGCTGGATGCTTTCGTGTCCTAACACTTTTGTTTTTTAAAGAAGGAATTCTAAGCAGGCAGCATATTACAATGAGGGCACTTTTGGCCACTTTTTGCACATTACATTTGGCAGCAAATGCTTTTTTTTCCCCAGGGTTTTGAAAATTGAGGCACGCATTAGATTTGATGGCGCATTAGACTCAAGTAAATACGGTATTTCTTCCCTTTTTTATTTCTTATTTCTATATTTATCTTCCTTGGGACTCCCTCCAAGAAACAAAACATGGTCTTTTGTAGCAGGTGGCTGTTCCCAAACCAGCTCAAACTTTAAAATTGTCACCTCATATGAAGCAAAAATAAACCAGGAGCTTATCTTCTTATATGCATGATTCCTCTACTCTAAGCCGCTTAACCTAAGAATGAAGAATGTAACACTACTGTGCTGTCAGCATTCATTATTCCTGACATTTTTACCCAAAGTCTCAAAGATTTTGTGCTATAGCTAAAAAAGCGAAACCTGCTCTTTTGTGATTGTTAAATCTGTAATTGAAATAGAAAAAAAATGAGTAAAGCAGTTAACATGCAGCAATAATGTTTGAAAAGCCAACAATAATGAATACATTTTGAATTGACTTGCAGTTTAATTTAAAAGTCAGGGGAAGAAGTTTCTTCATTATTGATTTATCAATACTCTCAGCTACATGAAACACTTTTCATAACTGTGTTCTAATTAAGCAGCACTGCTCAAATGTCATCAATTTTATTCTCATTTTTTAACAGAGACTATATACGGTTGTTGTTACGAATAACTCTCACCTTTATAAATCTTTTACAATATCGAGTCAACATCATTTACAAGACGTGGTTTTCTGCAATTCTAGAAGTTCAGTCCTGACATCATACAGAATGTTTTCCTCTCTGGGCCCTTTCACTCAGCCATATAACCCAGCATATCAAGACAGAAAATCCCACAATATCTGCTTTGAACAGGGTTATCTGAGTCCACACTGCCATATAACCCAGTTCAAAGCAGATAATGTGGGGTTTTATACAGCTGTGTGGAAGGGGCCTCAGATGCGGTTCTCAAAAACCATAGTAGCCTCTGTCTTATGGAGTCCAACATAAATCTATACAGCTTCAAGAAGTCAGCAAATATGACAATCTGTTGCTCATATCTTTCCTGTTTGCCAAGAGGCACAAGAATAATTTGGTAAGAGAGTACTTCATGATCACCTAACCAATATAGTTGTGGTATTCCTGTTCATACTACAAATGCATGAGAAAAGGTACTCCCACATGAGAGTGGATGGTTATGAAGAAGACATCAATTTAATACTTTAGGGTGTTATTAAGCTTGTTTATAGACTGACTGATTTATCTTTTTACTAATGCCACAGAAAGTTATCTAATAAATTCACAGAGGGCAGTAGATTAATTTTCTGTCTTTTAATCTATGTATTAATCCATTTGCTTTAAAATTCAATTTCATATTGCCATGACCTCAATTTAGATCTCTGTCTGAGATTTTAAGAGAAAATATGAGATACCCTTCAAAGTAATTAACAAAAACCCATGCTCTTGGTTAGAAAAAAAGATACTTTTAAATACAATACATCTGCTGCTTTGTATAGTGAGAGAAGGGTTTAAATAGAAGGACAGCAGAGGGAAAAACTGCCATTCTGGGGATTAGAATTTTGGCAGCAGGTTTTCCAATTTCCATCTCAAACCATATCCTACACCTGTTGTTCTTACCATGTTACCTAATCTTTATATAATCTTGCATACATTTTGTGTATCCAAAGAGCTGCCGTAAATCCTTTGCAGGGAGAAAGGCAAGAATATAAATTAAAGGAATGAAAGAATTAAGGTTTGAAGGGAAATACTACATCATCTGTGTGATAAAGGTTAGAAATCTCATACCACATAAAATCTGATACCACATCAGAGAGCATTGTTTTCCCTAACTCACAAACTGGAGATTCCCCAGATGCTGTCTTGCTTATCCTTTCTTTTTAATCTCACCTTGGGTGAATAACACTGGTCAGTAAATCCAGTTCCAGTGTGGTGCAAAAATGCTCCAGACTGCCCCAGAGGTAGCTACACATACCCTCCCAATCCTATTGTGGTGGTAGGTTGTAGACCACACTGTTCAACTGGACCGCAACTACATTAACCCTTCTGAATGGTTATCTCACTTTCCATGTCACTGTTATCACTCCCAGCTGGGAAGAAAACCTTTCACTCTTCCTCAGATTATGTAGCATTGCATCTATAGAAATATATCATGCATGACATGATTCATTATTCTGTTTTGGAAATTGTGCAGCATATGTTTTCTCTCCAGCTATTAGAGCAGCCACAGCCACTGATCAGAGCTTGGAAGTAATAAGTTACAAGTAACATAATTAGTATTACCTGTCCTAAATTATCTTTTGGGGTAGTGAGGACATAACAAAGTTATATTTCACAGAATTGTAACAAGTTATTGTTGTTGTTATTTATATCTCACCTTTCTCCCCATGGGGACTCAAGGCAGCTAATATCAATCCACACAGAGCAATACAAATGTTAAAAAACAATTAAACAATAATCATGTATTAAAAACAGAATTAAAATACAGCAAATACATTAAAATGGCCCTTAAAACTCATATTCCCCCCTCCCGTCCCACCCGCCATCCCCAAAGCCTCCCCTTACCCTCCCCCAGAAGCCTGTTGGCAGAGGAAGGCCCTGACCTGTTTGCAAAAGGCCAGGAGTGATGGAGCCATTCTGGTTTCTCTTGGGGCGGAGTTCCACAGCCGGGGTGCAGCCTAGTAAATATTACTTTATGTTAACTTTATAAAGTTTCTCCTCATGATCTCCTAAATCCTTTCTAAATGCATTTGGCAAGGATTTTTTTTCCAGTTTTAAGCCATCCTATTGGTTTTTAAAGTTTTAAAAATAAAGAACTATGAAAAATAACAAAAAGTAATAGACAATACAGCAGATGTGGTGTAGTCCTTTTTCAACATTGTAACATTATGAGAGAAATGAACTACTTTTTCAAACTATGATGAATTACTATGAAATGAAATGAATCCATATATGAAAACATGCTTCAAAGCATTGATAAGAGCATTATAAAATTCTCTCCTGAAATGTCTTCATAATTTTTGCATGCTTATATTATAGGCTATAAATGGAATAATGATGTTTTAACAGGGATGTTTTTTAAACTTATATTGTGATTTTTTTTTCATGCTAAGGTATTCCTTTTCACTGCATTGTGTCATTTTTTTAAAGAATTAAAGTAAATTGTATAATATAAAGTGATTTGTTTTAGGCAACTTGATGGCCAAACTCTTTACATTAGAGTAAATCCTACTAGTGCCGATGGCATTGTATTCTACACATTGGTTTGTTTTGTTATAGGCCTTCATGTTAACTCCAGATTATGGCAACTTTATCATAAAGTTTCCATGGGAAGACTGATTTGAGAGGAGGTTTTGCCACTGTCTTCTGGGTTGAGAAACAATGATGTGGCAAATATTGCATGTACATATAAATTGTATGCTGCTCTAGTCCCCTTTGGTGTGAGAAGGGTGGGATATAAATGTCATAAATGTCATAAATAAATAAATAAATAAATAAATAAATAAATAAATAAAAACACCATCCAGTGGGATTGCAAGTCGTTTGAATGCCTTCATCTAGCATTCAAACGACCACACCATGCTAGCTGACCATTTTGTAAGTGCATTTATAAAACCAGAGATTATCATGCCTGGCTATTGCTTTCCATGAGCAGAACTAAGCCCACATTTTCTGCATTATTGCAGCTTTTTAGTGGTGCTCTAAAAATAGGTTAATGTGCAAGTTCTATGTATGATGCAGTTGCCACAATATATAAACACACAAAAATAGAATTCCAAACTAAAAAGAACATTTAATATTTGATAAAGTACAGAATTAAAGCTATACTTATTCATTGCCCCATCTTCAACCTACATAGGTTAGCGGTTTTTTAAAACATTTCTTTACCTTGAGATTTGTGCTTGCAACCTTGAGAAGTGTGGACATAATGGGTTTAAGGCTGAAACAGTAAAACTGTTGTAGATCATGTTGTGATTGTTTATTTTCCTCAAAATAATACTCCTCATTGAACATATAATGGCTACTCGCCAACTTCAAACCTGAATGGTAATAGGTTTTGTTTATCTCTCGTTTCAGTTGTTCGAGTTCATGAACTTTTTGGCTGAGAATGTTATTTTCTGTTACATGGGATTAGCGCTGTTCACTTTCCAAAACCACATCTTCAACGCACTGTTTATATTTGGAGCATTTGTATCCTTTCTTTAAGTAGTAGTAAATATGGTATAGAAAATGTATATTATAAGACTAAAAGTGGTTGTTTCTCTCTCTCTCCACACACACACACACACACACACACATACAGGTATCAAAAATGGTTGAAAAACAGGTATCTGGAATGCCATGAGAAAATTATAAATGGATTAAATTTTTTGGACATCAGGACCTCTCTGGATGCATCTGCACAGTAGAATTAATGCAGTTTGATACTAAATTGCAGTGGCTCAGTGTTATGGAATAGTGGGATGTATAGTTTTGCAAAGATCTAAGCCTTTCCATCAAATAATGCTGGTATCTCACAAAACCGCAGCTTTCATGATTTCCTAGCATTGATTCATGGTAGTTAAAGTGGCGTCAAGCTGTTTTCATTCCATTGTGTAGCTGAACTCTCTTTAACACTGAGTAGAGAGATGTAAGGACCTTTGTTCCAGACATATCCCTTACAACAGTGGTTCTCAACCTGTGGGTCTTCGGATGTTTTGGCCTTCAACTCCCAGAAATCCTAACAGCTGGTAAACTGACTGGGATTTCTGGTAGTTATAGGCCAAAACACCTAGGGACCCACAAGTTGAGAACCACTGTCTTACAATATTGACCTTTATTGGAAGTGATGAAGTTCAACTTGCCGTGCTTTGCAAGATCTGAAACCATAATAGGGCAGGTTTCCTGGACATGAAAAATAATGTATCTTCAATGGCATCAGATGCCTTGGGAACAAGCCAGTCTATTGTAGTGATGCAATTCTTCACCTATTGTGTACACAGAGCAACCAGCAGTTTTTAATAATTTTCTTCCCATTGTGCAAAAGACTTTTAACAGAAAACAGCAATTTTATGAAATTATTGTTCTAAAAGTTATTTTGCATTATTTTCTGTGCAATACATATTGTTTATTGAACAAAAAAGCATGTGCAAATTTTATCAAGAATCATTCCCGAACTGCAACATTTCTCAATCCAGGTTTCTCCTTATCAGGGTTTCCCAACACTCAGAAAAAATACTTTCCAGACATTTTTCAAACACTTTAAAGTATACTTTCTATCTCTAGTTAATAAGACTTTCCAGTGTGTGTTTTGGAGCAACTCCATGTTGCTACTGAACCGGGAAGAGCATATAACTATCTGCAGCCATCGATGAAAAAACAAACGGCACAAGTAAACAATGTACCTTTCCCAGGAGTATCTAAGACAATTTTCTGCCAGAGGTGAAACAGACAACGATGCACACAACTCCAAGGTCCATAGTACTCAGAGCCAATATAATTTGGTACATGAGGCAGAAAATTGTATAAACACATCTGACCTTCCCTGGTAGTACAAGAGGAATACATTTAATTAAGGGACATTTCTGCCCTTTCATGAAACCCCAAATCTACTGTTAGAGGCAACTGCCTCACTCCCATCTAAAGCAGGACAAAAGTACAGCGTTCTAGTTGTGGGATTTTGACTCCCATCAGGCCCAGTTAAAAGGGAGTCAAAACCCATCTACTGAAGTACAGAAATGATCAGAAAAATGTAATATTAGTTTGGCAGATTTTGTTCTTGTCAAACCAATGCTGACTTCTACTGAATACAACATTGTCATCAAGATACTTGTAGAAAGACTCCTGTATAAAATCCATTTTAATATTTTATTTTATTTTTTTGGTATTGGGGTCAGGTTGATTGCCCTGTAGTTTTCTGGCTCTTTTCTTTTGCCGTTTTTTTTTAAAGTATGGGACTGTTTACATTTTTATAGTCATCTGGTATCTCACCTGTTCTTCAAAATTTCTCAAAAATTATGGAACGTGGTTGATACAGTACATTCCTTGAATACTCTGAGGCCCTTCTGCACTATGCTAAACCCGAAAGGAAGCAGGTTAAAACAGCTGGCTTCATCTTGAGTTTTAGTCCTCACCCCTAAAACAAGCCCCAGGCTTTCCTGGGAGGAGTTATTAGATGCCTTCCAGCCCCCTTCCAGCCCCCCATTTTGCTCCCCAAACTTACCGGAGGGACCTGTGTGCAGCAAGAAAATCCCTCCTCTCCCACCTCCTGATGCACCATTTTCTCACATCAGGAGGACTGTAGAGAGGGCCTGCATTGCCCGCGGGCCCCTCTTTAAGTTTGAGGGGCAAAATGGGGGGCTGGGAGGGGAGGGGGTTCCATCCTGTTCCTCTGGGATTTTGAGAGCCCTAAAAAGAAGGATAGCTCTGCAAACCCAGGAGTCATTCCCTACAGGGCTCTCACCTCTAAAGACCTGAACTTTAGCTTATGATCCAAGTCTTTAGAGTTGTTTAATTAATGCAAAGTAAACTGGGAAAATCTGGGTTACTCTGCATTAATTCTCTTTTAACTGAGGTGTTGTCTGGACATCTGGTAAAAAGCAAGACAGATCCTGCATTTTGGGTCTGTCTGGAAGAGCCCAGAGATGCATTAATTTGGTCCTACAGATTCAGACTTATTTAGGTTACCTAGATGATCAACCTCTAGCAATCTTGATTTGCAATCCAGGACCCTTGCCAATGTCTCTGCTTTTCCACAGAAGCACACTGCCCACTTTTTGGGACAATGTTGAATACTGTGTAGTTTTGCCAGTATGAAGTGATCTCTTAGTGTTTTAGTGTCCTTACTGAACAGCAGTCCCCGCTGTCTCCTTGATCATTCTCTTGCCTCAAATGTTATCTGGGGAATAACTTTTTGTTGCCTCTTGCTTGTCAAGCTAATCTCAACTCGTTCTGAGCTGTCTTTATACAATTCCTGCAAGTCAAGGCTACATATCTGTGTTCTTCACTGGGGATTCATCCTTCCTTCTATAACTTATAGATATTATTCCCAACCCAACCCCACTTTTTCCTTGAGTTGCTGCACACCCACATTGAGCTTTGCAGATGTTTCCAGGTTTTCCTGTTAATGGGATTGTTTGCAATTGCATTCTTTGCAATTCCTTCTTCAAAAACTTCCATCCTTTCTGGATGTCTTTCTCCTTTAGCATTTTAAGTTCCTCTGTTCCATAATTGTGAGTTCTAGCATTAAGTAATATCTTCCTCCTTAAGAATCAACTATTTTGATTCCAGTGATCAACTCCTCCGTCTTGGCCTGAATCAAATCCAAGAGAGCTGATCCCCTTGTTCCTTTTTCTATTTTTTGAAATAGGGAATTATCGACAAGGCATATCAGGAATTTGTTGGACAGCCTATGCTTACCAGAGTTAATTACTCAGCAGTTATCAAAGTAATTGAAGCCCTCCATAATTACTAATTCTTGCATCTTTGAGATTTCTGAAACCTATTTCTGAAAAGCATTTGTCTAGCTCCCATCTATCACCCATCATTTTTTATACAAGCACTCATTTATGTATTGGTGAATCTGGCTGTCCATATACAAACACACATTCAGTGGTGAGTGTCCACACCAGCTCATTAATTCAACAATATAGCTATGGGATTATGGTCATATATTTATCAAAGTCCCACAGTGATAACACTTCCAAAGGCTACCAAAGATAGCTCTCTGTTCACATCCACAGTATGAAAAAAGCTTTTAGAGTGATAAAGAAAAGACTGATGAGGCCTGAAGGAAACCTGTTACCAGCAGGGTATTTGTGTACAGTAAAGAGGTGCATTTTTTTTCTTTTACCTTCCCTATTTCTTTTTCTGTATTTTCTTTTTTCAGGGTGTAAAGTGTCCTTATTTTTTTTTCTAAACAACTTTGGCACTGGATGTGCAGAGGGATAATGAGAACATCAGCACAATTTTCTGAGCCATACAAAAATAATAGAAAGGGTGGGGAAGAAGGACGCCAAAGTGGAGAACATTAGATGGAGACAACATGAATTGTGGGGAAATGAAGTAGTAATCATGTTTCAAAGTACATTTATCTTTCCAGAATTATTGTTGGAGGAAATAATACTGTTGGTGGCTGAACAATTTCTACTGAGATTTTTTCCCCCGAGAGATTGAGCATGGGAGCTTTTGTCCTTGATAAAGATGGCACATGAATTCTGAATAGCAAGAATGCAAATGGGCATGGAGGGGGAGATGTTCAAGACAGAACAAAATGAACCCCAAGAAAAGATGTTGCCTGAAATAAACAATGAACATATTAATTTTGTTTCTGTCCCAGAGTCTCATAAATGGGTAATTCCTCTGTGTCCTTGAACTCATTTGCTAGATATTTGGGTATCTCGTTGAACTCATTTGCTGGACATTTGCGTATCTTGTTTCCTGCATTGTTTTCCTCAACATCTGATGTCCCATGATGCAGGTTGCAATATTCATCGCAAGAGCCTGTAACATATATCCAATTTCTTTCATTCTCAACTTGGGCCGAAAACAAAAGATTCCCAGGAATTTTCAACATATGATGATGTTCTCAGGTAAGTGGATTGCTTCTGCTACCATGTCCCTACTTAAAGGGGAAACATAAGGCAGAACATAACAACAGTTTTTCATAGAAAGAGAAAGGGAAGGATATTTACAGGCAATGACAAGAGAGCTGCTCTGTGATCCAAAACATTCATTGGAGAGATTTAGTATCATTTGAAAAAGAGCTTCCTCTGTCCTCTGGTGATGTGCAGTAATGATTTTAATCATTTTAATTACCATGGTACAGCCTGCCCATTATGGAAGTTTATGAAGTGGACTTGAAAGCAGCAGCTCAGCTGGGGAAATGACACTAACACAGCATAATCATGTTGCAAGCTGGCTGCCTCATTTCTTCCCCACTGGGAGCAGGCTCACTCCTTTTGGAGTATATCCCTCTCATTTTAGAATCTCAAGTCTATACATGCTTTTTCCTGTTTAAGAGAGTTCCTGGGTAATGACAATCTTCAGATGGTGTGGAGGCAAGCATGACATCTCCCCTTCACTGCACAGATAAGATAATATGCAATATGAATTCAGCATGGTCCAACCTGTTATGTGACTGCCTTTTTTATTTATTTTGTCACTTTCAGGAGAAAAAGGAGATGGGTGTTTATATGGGCCTGTGTGTGGTCACATTTTCATTTGAAATTTCATTTGTATGTTCTCCCTAGAGAAATTAGCCCAACTCCTATCTTATCTCAGTATCAAACAAAGACATTTCTTTCCTACCAACCTTTAAAAAAGAATTTTAATTTGGTATCTGGTTTACGTTGCTTGCTGTAGAAATACTGCCTTCCATTTTTATCAGTGCAATTGTTGTGGCCTTACACTCTAGTTCTTTGAAAGTTATTTTGACTACAATTGCCATATAATCGCCAGAATCCCCAACCAGTACCCTCAGGGAGTTACTAAGATGCAGGACATGGGAGAGGCATCTGCCATACATCTCTCTTTGCAGGCATTTTTCTGGTTCTAAGTCTCATGAGAACTGTCTCCACTTGGCTAATGCCTGCACTAAATCCAACGACTAAATCAACGTCAGAATTTCAAACACAACTAAAGACAGAACTTCTGCCAGGCTTACCCAGTCAATTCTAATCTTTACACCTTTTCTTTTGATATATGTATTTTACTGTATGTATTTTATGGTGATGTTTTAGCTTGGTTGTGCCCCATCTTGAGTGGAGAGTAGAGGCAGGTAACAAATAAAATCTATTATTATTGTAGTAGTTGTTATTATTTTTAACCTAAATCCACACTGTATTATTTAATTGTTTCTTTATTTTTATATTCACTTTGTTTTTCTGCGACTAAAATGTGGGATTGTTAGCCACCTTGAGTCCCCATGAGGAGAAAGGAGAAGTATAAATAAAGCTAATAATAATAATAATAATAATAACATCCCAAAAGATTGACCTCTCAGTTAACCAGCACTCATCCGGATTGGAAGATACTGGTTAAATTTAATTTCTGGATGTTTGAGAGTTACTATTAAAATGGGCCTAACTAATACTATACTCTATACTATACCACTCCAAAAACTCTGTATTAACTTGATGTTAATATTGAAATACAGTAATTAAAAATCAAATTAAGACAAACTTAGCTTTTTGGGTACTGTTCCATTATCCAGGCGGACTCCCAAAGGAGGCCTAGACAGAGGAGGCTAGTCCATTTTAGGGGGGCAGAGTTGAAGGAGGAAAACCATTTTCTCTATTTTTGCTGGTCATTCCCCCCTCTCTGCCCCCACACGCACATAAATGAGGGCTACTTCCATGACGGTGACATGAGTGGGGAAAAAAGCTTCAAAGTTAAGATACCACTCTTTCTGTGATCTTTTCCATTCAGTCTGTAGAGGAGACTAGGATTAAAGCTTTGATAATACTATTTCTACTCTAGTGGAGACAGGAGCTACAGGCGCATGCCCTCTCTTCCTGCAGTAGGCAGGTTTCCAAGGCATTTTAAGGACGCTTTCCATTTCCCAGGGAAGGAAGAGAAATCAACCTGGAAGTATCCTACCCTGTGCTTCCTTTAAAAAGCCCTCTCTTATCTCTTGATTTGGAGATGCTGGAGTAGTGCCTCTCCCCCCCCCCCCATGCTTTTCCTTCTAGCAGAAAGTCAAACACAATGCCTAAAGTGACAGGAAGGGGAGCCTGTGGGAGCCTGTGGGAATTCTAAATGTATTGCCCTGAACCACAAATCCCAAACTCARGGAGTGAAAATGAAATGATAGTGCTATAATTGTGTAGTATGATAGGAYTCTAAGAATCAGATTTAGATCTTTTTGCATTGTTATTGTACACGTAATAGGCTAACACTGCTACTCTCTTGGAAGCTATAATGATTTTCTTCCTGATGACAGCCTGGTTGGTTTCATTTTTATTTTTTTCCAAGAGAATCTAGTGATTTCCAGGTCAAAGAACATCAAATATGTATGAGGCACATACAAAAGGTTAAAACCTATGCCTGTGTTCATAATTTATGTAGAAATGCACTCTGCACAAAGGATCTCTAATCTACATATAACATTCTAGGTTAAGAAGAATTCAGTTAGTTCCATAATTGCTGAGTTCTAGGTGTGATGAAGCAATATAATTAAAGTAGGACAAAAAGACAAAAGAATAAACAACCCTGGCATAGAGCTCTATTCTGGGAAGCAAATTAAGGAAAACAACCACTTTCCATGGCCAAGAAACATACTTTGCAGGCTTAAGCATTGCAAAATTTTCTCCTTTCACTTCTGCAATAATGAGAGAGAGAGAGCAGGGGCAGGAAATGGCTATGCATGAAGCCCCACCATCAAAAGGGCTTAATGAGAATCCGCAATTAGGGGTGAAGTTAGTTAACCATTTCTGACAGGAAGATCTCACTATGACTAAATTTCTAAATGTGCCTCCATGTGGTAAGAGGGGCGCTATTAAAATGTGTCTAGGAAAATGGAAGTAACAGTCTTCAAAATGTTATCATAACTACAATTCTAAGCACAGGTACTGTGCTTAACGAATACTCTCTTCCAACAACCTAAAAGACGGCTTTACACATGGACCTCACCAGACGGCCAACACCGAAATCAGATTGACTACATCCTTTGCAGCCAAAGGTGGCGGACATCCATCCAGTCGGTGAAAACAAGACCTGGGGCTGACTGTAGCTCAGATCACGAACTTCTTATTGCCCAATTTAGAATAAAACTGAAGAACAGATTTGAAGGACTAGATTTAGTAAACAGAGTCCCAGAAGAACTATGGACAGAAGTCCGAGACATTGTTCAGGAGGCGGCAACAAAGTACGTCCCAAAGAAAAAGAAAACCAAGAAGGCAAAATGGTTGTCTGCTGAGACACTGGAAGTAGCCCAAGAAAGGAGGAAAGCAAAAGGAAACAGGGATAAGGGGAGATATGCCCATTTAAATGCGCAATTCCAGAGGTTAGCCAGAAGAGATAAGGAACTATTTTTAAATAAGCAATGCATGGAAGTGGAAGAAGACAACAGAATAGGAAGGACAAGAGACCTCTTCCAGAAAATTAGAAACATTGGAGGTAAATTTCAGGCAAAAATTGGTATGATAAGAAACAAAGATGGCAGGGACCTAACAGAAGCTGAAGAGATCAAGAGAAGGTGGCGAGACTATACAAAAGATCTGTATAGGAAGGATAATAATATTGAGGATAGTTTTGACGGTGTGGTGAATGAATTAGAACCAGACATCCTGAGGAGTGAGGTTGAATGGGCCTTAAGAAGCATTGCTAACAACAAGGCAGCAGGAGACGACGGGATCCCAGCTGAACTGTTTAAAATCTTAAAAGATGATGCTGTCAAGGTGATGCATGCCATATGCCAGCAAATATGGAAAACACAAGAATGGCCATCAGACTGGAAAAAATCAACTTATATCCCCATATCAAAAAAGGGAAATGCGAAAGACTGCTCAAACTTCCGTACAGTGGCCCTTATTTCTCATGCCAGTAAGGTAATGCTCAAGATCCTGCAAGGAAGACTCCAGCAATACATGGAGCGAGAGTTGCCAGATGTTCAAGCTGGGTTTAGAAAAGGCAGAGGAACAAGAGACCAAATTGCCAATATCCGCTGGATAATGGAGAAAGGCAGGGAGTTTCAGAAAAACATCTATTTCTGCTTCATTGACTATTCTAAAGCCTTTGACTGTGTGGATCATAATAAATTGTGGCAAGTTCTTAGTGGGATGGGCATCCCAAGCCACCTTGTCTCTCTCCTGAGGAATCTGTACAAGGACCAAGTAGCAACAGTCAGAACTGACCATGGAACAACAGACGGGTTCAAGATTGGGAAAGGCGTACGGCAAGGCTGCATCCTCTCACCCAACCTTTTTAACTTGTATGCAGAACACATCATGCGATGTGCGGGGCTGGATGAATGCAAAGCTGGGGTGAAAATTGCTGGAAGAAACATTAACAACCTCAGATATGTAGATGACACCACTTTGATGGCCGAAAGCGAGGAGGAGCTGAGGAGCCTTCTAATCGAGGTGAAAGAAGAAAGCGCAAAAGATGGGTTGCAGTTAAACGTTAAAAAAACCCAAGATTATGGCAACAAGAATGATTGACAACTGGGAAATAGAGGGAGAAATCGTGGAGGCCGTGACAGACTTTGTATTTCTAGGTGCAAAGATTACTGCAGATGCAGACTGCAGGCCAGGAAATCAGAAGACGCTTACTTCTTGGGAGGAGAGCAATGTCCAATCTCGATAAAATAGTAAGAGTAGAGACATCAGATTGGCAACAAAGATCCGCATAGTCAAAGCAATGGTATTCCCCATAGTCACCTACTGATGTGAGAGCTGGACCATAGGGAAGGCTGAGCGAAGGAAGATAGATGCTTTTGAACTGTGATGCTGGAGGAAAGTTCTGAGAGTGCCTTGGACTGCGAGAAGATCCAACCAGTCCATCCTCCAGGAAATAAAGCCCGACTGCTCACTGGAGGGAAAGATACTAGAGACAAAGTTGAAGTACTTTGGCCACATCATGAGGAGACAGG